CTCAAACCACTTCAAAAAATGTGCAAAAAAAAAAAAAAACTTTTATAATAAGATAAAATAATTTCTTATAGTGCACATATGTAATACAAATTAAACTGTGAGCACTCTGTGATCACTGCAACACTGTGCTTACACCAAAAACCAGCACCAGTAGTACTAAATACTATTACCCTCTGTGTGTATTTAGCAGCTTAACAATATTATGGATCAGATATCTTCCATTCTCTCTTCAAAGATATTTTTCCAAGGTCCTTAGAAAGACAAGAAGGGTCTCAAGACTCATATTCAAAGCATAGGGAAAATTTAATAACCACTTACATTAAAACTTAGAGATTCCAGCTCCAAACATGGCTCCTATACAAGTTCCAACAAACAAATGCAGAAAACCATGTGTGGATAACCAACAAAATGGCCACGGCAACACTTCCGGTTTGCATACGTGCGTCTTGACGTCACTCCACTAACGCGTTTCGTCACTTTCCGGACTTCGTCTGCACTATAAGAAATTATTTTTGTCAAGGTCCTACCTTTTTACCAGAGGTTATGTTACTCCATTTGCTGGCATCCATCTTGGATTTCTGCAGAGCATGGTGAGAATCTTTTATGCCTTCAGGTCTCTGAGGTCCATCCCCCAGAGGGGTGTGGCTGATGACATATAAGCCTGTGTTCCGCACATGCTCTTTGCACTTGTGTCTTGTGTCTTGGTGTTGCTGTTACTCTGTTCTGACTCTTGTGACTCTCCTGGAATCTGACTCGGCTTGTGACCTGACCATTCTTTGTGTTCTCCTTTGATCTAACCCTCCGTTGCTGAACCCGGCTCGTGACCTGTGATTCTCGTCTGCTGTCCTGTACCGTTTTTGTCTCGTTATTGTTGACCCGGCCTGTCTGACTACTCTATTGTCTTTACCACTAGCTACACGCCATTGGCGGCGGCCATTACCGCAGCTGGGGTGCCTCGGGGGCCGCGACCTGGTTCCTGGCTGCGTCAAGTCCATCCCCACCATCAGGGACCCTGGTGAAGGGCAGCCTGGGACTTAGACTCCACGCCCTGAGGGACTTCGGTCTGTGGGTGGTGGTTGTCGTCAGCCTGTGCGTTACATTGATATTAGGCCTGCCTGTCCGTTTCCCAGCTCCTGCCCTGACAATTTTATCTTATTATAAAAGTTAGTTTTTTTTGCACATTTTTTGAAGTGGTTTGAGTTTTGCATTGAGTGATTATTCCTTTGTATAAAGGTAATGCACTAGAGTATTTTTTCTTTTTATTTTGAGGTTCTTACTGGATGAAATAGCAGTCAATCCTTCTTATTGGATGAAAAAGTTTGGAAATTTGGGACTTTTTTGGACACTGGATTTTTTGGACACTTTTGGAATTTTTGAGATTTTATTGGACACTTTATGGTTTAATTGTATTGTAATATATCACAAAAAGGTTATATTATATGATTATTGCACTTTCTAGGGAGAAAGTATGACGTTTTGAGGGGTTTGTAGTGGAGGAGGTTATATATTTATTTGTTTATACAATGGACAAATCAAGGAGGAGCTGGAACACACAAAGGGCAGGAACAGATTCGGGAACTGAGGCAGGAGATCACACTGTTAGAACCCAGGAATATAAGAAGCCGAGGGTGACTCAGCCTATGAGGCTCCAATCACAACTAAAATCTCACTTTTTGGGTCAACTGGTCCTTGTAAGCATTGTTGGGCCCCTTGTACATGGCCATATTTGTGCAGAAAATTGTTGGCAGCAAGATTCTGCGTAAAACGTTGTCCATACACACGCTTATGTCTGTACGAGTTGAGCTGTGTACTTCATTCTACATATGCATGGACAGCACTTACACAGTGGGGTAGATTTACTATAGTTACATAGTTAGTCTGGCTGAAAAAAGACAAAAGTTCATCCAGTTCAACCATAGAAAAAAAAAAGTTATAATTCTAGACCCACAGTTGATCCAGAGGAAGGCAAATAAAAACCAGCAAAGCATGATCCAAATTGCTCCTGCTGGACAAAAAAATTCCTTCCTGATCCCCCGAGAGGCAATCGGATATTCCCTGGATCAACTTTACCTATAAATGTTATATCCAGTTATATTCTGTGTATCCAAGAAATAATCCAGGCCTTTTATAAAGCAATCCACTGAGCTGGCCAGAACCAACTCTTGAGGGAGTCTATTTCACATCTTCACAGTTCTCTGCTTGTAGGCAGGTGCAGTCTATTTTCTCCACTGTAGTTGGCACTCATCAGCAGCGGCAATGCAGATGATGGAGAAAGCCAAGAGAATCCTGGTTCCTCTATGGTTTCTTCGGTTATGTAGGGGCAGCATTCAATTGGATGTTGGCACCCCATGTGACTTTGGTGCCCATCTTGGGTCAGGTAGAGTCTATTTAAGTCCCTGGCTCCCTGGGATCAGCAAGCATTCCGCGTGTTGCTATAGTAAAGACAGGTTACCCGTCTGGCAGGGAAAGTGCAGGGACACGCCATCTTGTCTGGAACGCTCCCCACTTGGCTATGGACCAACTAGGCTGCATTCCACCCCTCGAGACAGACGCTGTTGGCACACCTGAGGCCTACGTCTACTGACACATCTCTAATACAGTGCTCCCGGTTGGGTTGCCTTCCCGCCTGGCCTGTTCTGTATCGCCAAACTTCAGTTACAATATAATTCTGTTTCTCTGCACTGGGACCCTGAATGTTTTCTGCCTCCTCATCACTCTGTAACTACCAACATACTAAAGGCAAATAGACTGTGAACAGCCTCACGTGCTGCTGCTCCAGAGTTTAGTAAATTTAGCTCTGTTAACTTCTATCATCCAATCATGTGCAAGCAAACATGTTGTTTTTATTTTCCTTGCATGTGATTGGGTATTCTTTGCAAAGTGAAGCTGCACCTCATTTATGAAGCTCTGGTGCAACTGCACTTGCAAAGTACACAGTCTATTTGCCTTTAGTAAATCCACCGCATTGTCAGTGTATACATCTTGCCCTGAATGGGTCATTCAAGATGATGGTACAGATTGACCTTGGCCTTCAGGCCTGTGCTGCCATTGCCTGGGTGACTCATTGTCAAGGTGTCCACATCAACAATATATAGGCGGTGGCACATGCACAGAATGACCCTGGTCTTCAAGTATTCCAAAGGATTGAAGGCCAAGATCATTCTGTGCCTCTGAGCACACATTGTTTATGCTTCAGTCCTGGCAGCAGCGATGGCACATAAATGCATGTACACTGTACACATGTAAATGGTACCACAAACGTTTCCATGTGTGCTGCATAAAATATGGTCAAAATTGGCCCATGAATGCAACATTTTCTTTTGGTTTAGGCAGCAAATTGCTGTGGATCACAGGTCTGAACCCAGCATGCCTGTGTGCATGAGCCCATAGCCCAAAAAATGATTCTCGGTGTCTGGATTAGGAGATAAACTAATCTGTATATTAGCAACCACCTCGGTTTAAAGCAGAACGAAAGTTCACAAGTACTAACCCTGCAACGTCTGTGAGATCTCTCCTTGATTTCTTCCAGGTGCAGGGTCTTTGGTCATCTTGATTGGCTGGCAGGGGATAGACCCAACTCCTGCACATGCACGCAGGACTTTATTCAAACCAATACCCAGGTGTGCCTAGAATGTACACTGAGCTGCGCGTGCACGCAGGACTTTATTCAAACCAATACCCAGGTGTGCCTAGAATGTACACTGAGCTGCGCGTGCACGCAGGACTTTATTCAAACCAATACCCAGGTGTGCCTAGAATGTACACTGAGCTGCGCATGCACACAGGACTTTATTCAAACCAATACCCAGGTGTGCCTAGAATGTACACTGAGCTGCGCGTGCACACAGGACTTTATTCAAACCAATACCCAGGTGTGCCTAGAATGTACACTGAGCTGCGCATGCACACAGGACTTTATTCAAACCAATACCCAGGTGTGCCTAGAATGTACACTGAGCTGCGCGTGCACACAGGACTTTATTCAAACCAATACCCAGGTGTGCCTAGAATGTACACTGAGCTGCGCGTGCACACAGGACTTTATTCAAACCAATACCCAGGTGTGCCTAGAATGTACACTGAGCTGCGCATGCACACAGGACTTTATTCAAACCAATACCCAGGTGTGCCTAGAATGTACACTGAGCTGCGCATGCACACAGGACTTTATTCAAACCAATACCCAGGTGTGCCTAGAATGTACACTGAGCTGCGCATGCACACAGGACTTTATTCAAACCTGTACCCAGGTGTGCCAAGAATGTACACTGAGCTGCCCATGCACACAGGACTTTATTCAAACCAATACCCAGGTGTGCCTAGAATGTACACTGAGCTGCGCATGCACACAGGACTTTATTCAAACCAATACCTAGGTGTGCCTAGAATGTACACTGAGCTGCGCATGCACACAGGACTTTATTCAAACCAATACCCAGGTGTGCCTAGAATGTACACTGAGCTGCGCATGCATACAGGACTTTATTCATTCGCATGTGCATAGGACTGTATTCATTCTGGTATTGAGGTGTGCCTAGAATTTACACTGACCTGAACATGTGTAACTCAGTGTACATTCAAGACACACCTCAATACCAGAATGAATACAGTCCTGTGCGCATGCGCAGCTCAATGTACTTCCCAAATAAGTTTGTGACCACTCTAAGAAACTGAAATGGAAAACCTACAGGAAATGTGTTTAGAATGGTGTTCCTGTTTAATGATTTCAGCTCTTTTATATGAAGCCATTGTTATGATTTAGGATAACCTGAATTAAATGAAAAATCTGGGCTGCACTTTGTGTCATTAATAACAATTTTAGCGCATTAACCTGCATGCCACTGTTAAACGGACCTTCGGTTACAAATGGATGTTTAAAAACATATAAAATCTTTCTTTTTTTTCCTATGGAGCTGTGACATACGAGAGTTTACAGTGCCCTTTTACGTTTCACAATAAGTTTTAACGGCCGCAACATTTCTCTCCGCAGCCCCCTGAAAATGCACTGCAAGAGTTGTGCGCTGGTGACCAGCTCCGGGCATCTGCTGGGAAGTAAACTGGGTAATAAGATTGACCAGACGGAGTGCGTAATACGTATGAATGATGCTCCCACACGGGGCTACGGACAGGACGTTGGCAACAAAACGAGCCTGAGAGTGATTGCGCACTCCAGCATCCAGCGGATATTGAGGAATCGCAATGAACTGCTAAACATGAGCCAAGGCACCGTCTTCATCTTCTGGGGCCCCAGCAGCTACATGCGGAGGGACGGCAAGGGACTGGTGTTCAATAACCTGCAGCTCATCAACAAGATACTACCTCGATTAAAAGTACACACCATCACCCGCCACAAGATGCTGCATTTCGATGAACTTTTCAAGAAGGAGACGGGAAAGGACAGGTGGGAATTTCTTTATAAATAAGATTTCATGTCTGGAGGAGACCTGCGTCTCATGTCTGTCTAAATGAATGACACTCAGATGTTCTGTATATAGGAGTCTGCTTTCAGATGTAGGCTGGGAAGAACGGGCTGTGCACACTGTCATTATATAGAAGCCTGGAAGGCAGGGAACGTGAAGGATTGTACAGCAGTTCTGTAGATCTTTATTAGGATTAGGACCGAGATTAACAATATGCAATGTATGCAATGCAGGCCCAGGTCTAGGGGGTGCTGAGTTGTGCCCCTCTGACAGTGCATCCACAAATCCAAGGGGGAACTCTGATGGGGACAGTTGATGTAAGGGGGCACTCTGATGTGGAGGGTTGATGTAAGGGGGCACTCTGATGGGAGAGTTGATGTAAGGGGGCACTCTGATGGGGACAGTTGATTTAAGGGGAACTCTGATGTGGATAGTTGATGTAAGGGGGAACTCTGATGGGGAAAGTTGATGTAAGGGGGCACTCTGATGGGGACAGTTGATGTAAGGGGGAACTCTGATGGGACAGCTGATGTAAGGGGGAACTCTAATAGGGATAGTTGATGTAAAGGGGAACTCTGATGGGGACAGTTGATGTAAGGGGGCACTCTGATGGGGACAGTTGATGTAAGGGGGCACTCTGATGTGGACAGTTGATTGATGTAAGGGGGGGGCACTCTGATGTGGAGGGTTGACAGTTGATTTAAGGGGAACGCTGATGTGGACAGTTGATGTAAGGGGGAACTCTGATGTGGACAGTTGATGTAAGGGGGGGGAACTCTGATGGGGAAAGTTGATGTAAGGGGGAACTCCGATGGGGACAGTTGATGTAAGGGGGCACCCTTATAGGGACAGTTGATTTTAAGGGGGAACTCTGATGGGGACAGTTGATTTAAGGGGGAACTTTGATGTGGAGAGTTGATGTAAGGTGGCACTCTGATGGGGACAGTTGATTTAAGGGGGAACTTTGATGTGGAGAGTTGATGTAAGGTGGCACTCTGATGGGGACAGTTGATGTAAGGGGGCACTCTAATAGGGACAGTTTGATGTAAGGGGGCACTCTAATAGGATGATAGTTGATGTAAGGGGGCACTCTGATGGGGACAGTTGATTTAAGGGGGAACTTTGATGTGGAGAGTTGATGTAAGGTGGCACTCTGATGGGGACAGTTGATGTAAGGGGGCACTCTAATAGGGACAGTTGATGTAAGGGGGTACTCTAATAGGGATAGTTGATGTAAAGGGGAACTCTGATGGGGAAAGTTGATGTAAGGGGGAACTCTGATGGGGACAGCTGATGTAAGGGGGAACTCTAATAGGGATAGTTGATGTAAAGGGGCACTCTGATGGGAGCAGTTGATGTACGGGGGAACTCTGATGGGGAAAGTTGATGTAAGGGGGCACTCTGATGGGAACAGTTGATTTACGGGGGGGAACTCTGATGGGGATAGTTGATGTAAAGGGGAACTCTGATGGGGACAGTTGATGTAAAGGGGGGAACTCTAAGGGGGAAATTGATGTAATGGGGAATACTAATGGGGACAGTTGATGTAAGGGGGAACTCTGATGGGGACAGTTGATGTAAGGGGGAACTCTGATGGGGACAGTTGATATAAGGGGGAACTCTAATAGGGATAGTTGATGTAAAGGGGAACTCTGATGGGGACAGTTGATGTAAGGGGGCACTCTGATGGGAACAGTTGATGTACGGGGGAACTCTGATGGGGAAAGTTGATGTAAGGGGGCACTCTGATGGGGAAAGTTGATGTACGGGGGAACTCTGATGGGGAAAGTTGATATAAGGGGACACTCGGATGGGAAGAGTTGATGTAAGGGGGAACTCTGATGGGGACAGTTGATGTAAGGGGACACTCTGAGGACAGTTGATGTAGGGGGAACTCTGATGGGGACAGTTGATATAAGGGGGACCTCTGATGGGAACAGTTGATGTAAGAGGGTACTCTGATGGGAAAAGTTGATGTATGGGGTAACTCTGATCGGAACAGTTGATGTAAGGGGGCATTCTGCTGGGAAAAGTTAATGTACGGGGCAACTCTGATGGGGACAGTTGATGTAAGGGGGCACTCTGATGGGGACAGTTGATGTAAGGGGGCACTCTGATGGGGACAGTTGATGTAAGGGGGAACTCTGATGGGGACAGTTGATCTAAGGGGGATGTCTGATGGGGACAGTTGATGTAAAGGGGGAACTCTGAGGGGGAAATTGATGTAAAGGGGAACTCTACTGTCACACTACTGACATTATGTCCCCTGACATTTGTTTACTGATGCCATCGCAGGACGGGTGGGCCCTAACACCAAACTATCACATATACATTGCTAGCTGTCTGGAGCACGTTCGATTGGTGACCCAATGAGCAGGAGCCGGTAGGACAGGCCCTCATGTCAGCACAGTGCCACATGATCAGGAGAACTACTGCTCTGGAGTGTCCAGGCCTATTTAAATATTTTTCAAGTAAACTATATGGCCAAGGATATGTGGATACCCCTCAAATGACTGAGTTCAGGTGTTTCCAGTTAAGGGTATTGTTAATACAAAGACATTTTATCTTTGCATTCTATGCAAGAAGGTATAAAAACTTCAATGTGCGGCTCCCCCCTCAGCCCCCTCCATTATACTCACCTAAACACATTCCTGATCCAGAGATGTGCACAAGAGCAGAAGTTCTCCTGGGCACTGCCTCTTCATTGGCTGAAACTCAGCAGTGGGAGCCATTGGCTCTAGCTGCTGTCAATCACAGTCAGTGAGGAGGGGGCAGGGCTGAGCCACACTCTCTGTGTCTTATAGACACACAGAGGAGGCTTGGGTGTGAACATGCACGAGTGCCCCCAGAACAAGCAGCTTGCTCCGGGGGCACTCAGCAGGCCTGGAGTACTGGCGGGGGACCCGAGAAGAGGTGGATCAGGGCTGCTCTGTGCAAAACAATTACCCACAGCAGGTAAATATGATATGTTTGTTTTTTTAAAACAAAAAAATGTGAACCTTTAGTACCACTTTCATGTTATGTAGTCAAACTAGCCAGTTAGTGGAACTCTAGTTTCCTTTTCACTTTTAAAAGGTATTGCTTTCATCTGTGCTGGAAGAAGCTTGTTAAGGGCTAGTCCATACCGTCATGTATGTAGTCACATATGGTAAAATCTGCATTGTTACGTATGTTCACACAATGCATGGTGACCTATATGTGCATTGCCGTGTATTGTTAGTTGTACCCTAATGCATACATACAGTGCAGTATAGCACAGCACAATGCACACGTGTGCATCCCTTGTGAGTTGTCAGTCCGCCCCTGCAGCGCAACGCACATGTGTGAATCCCTTATGAGTTGTGATGCATCACATTCTACATAATAGAGCAGGTGATACATTGTGCACACTGTGGGCCTATTTAAAATGCAGGTATTGTGCCCTCCTGACTCCCCGTGTACTGTGCCCTCCTGACTCTCCCTGTACTGTGCCCTCCTGTTCCCAGTATTGTGCCCTCCTGATCCCAGTATTGTGCCCTCCTGATCCCAGTATTGTGCCCTCCTGACTCTCCCTGTACTGTGCCCTCCTGATCCCAGTATTGTACCCTCCTGATCCCAGTATTGTGCCCTCCTGATCCCAGTATTGTGCCCTCCTGATCCCAGTATTGTGCCCTCCTGACTCCCCCTGTACTGTGCCCTCCTGATCCCAGTATTGTGCCCTCCTGACTCTCCCTGTACTGTGCCCTCCTGATCCCAGTATTGTTCCCTCCTGATCCCAGTATTGTGCCTTCCTGACTCCCCCTGTACTGATAAATAGATGTTTAATTCTATCAACTATTTATACTTTAATTCTGGAGAATAGGTGCATAAATTGGGGCAAGCTGGTAGGGGTCCCAGTGCATTACTTTGCAGGGGCTCATGATGCTATAAAGACAGCCCTGTCTGTGTAGAGGAATATGTAGAGCTAATAACATGATTGGATGCTGGTTGTACACAGTAGTAAAGCAAGCGTCAAAGGCCTTTGTAGATGTCTGTAGGAAAAACAAAGATTTAAACCGAGAAAGCTCTGCGGCCAGTATGATCGCAGTTGCAGAGGCTGGAAGGACCCCCCGTAATGAAAAATAAATGCATCATGATCAGTCCCTATAACACAGGGCGGAATCCAATTATGTTCCATTCTCACCACCAGCATTAGAGACAAATAAATCTCTGTGTACAATCTGCAGATCCAGGAGATAGCTGTGATCACCACATGTGAGATGGAAGAAAACCGCAGGCAAAGCAAGAAATATTCCAGCAACGCGACATAATCACCGCAAAGAGTTAATTTATAATTGAATAGGAGAAATGTCGGGAAAAAAAAAAACAATCATTAATTATTATAGAAAAGATCATTAGTGAATACCTCGGGGGGATCTAAAATTATAGATTAGGAAGGAGCATTTGTGTTAATTGCAGTTAAATGTGAAAATACTGCCATATCAAGGATTATAAAGAGGGAACGTCATGCAAAACCCACAATTTAAAGGGAAAAGCCACATTTTCAAAGCATATCTAGACTCAAGAACAACAATGTAATATATTGCAGCTTATTGGTGCTTAGATGTGGTGGCAGCAATTTTTTTTCCTTTTTTCTTTATTATCACCTGGTGATTCTGCCAGTAACACATTTCCTGTCTTAGGGTGACAACGCCTAACACAGTGGCTAAGTGGTTAGCACGTTTGTCTGGCAGCACTTGGGTCATCGGTTCAAATCCCAACCACGGCACTACCTGCCTGGAGTTTGCATGTTCTCCTTGTGCCTGCATGGGTTTCCTCCAGGTATTCTGGTCTAAATTGGCCCTAGTATGTGTATGTATGAATGTGAGTTAGGGACCTTAGATTGTAAGTTCCGTGAGGGTTAGGGACTGATGTGAATGTACATATATGTAAAGCGTAACATAAATTGGTGGCACTATATAAGTACCTGAAATAAATAAATCTTACTAAATCTATGAGGATC